TGCTCTCAGAAGGATGTGAGAAAAGACTTTAACGCTGATAGCACAGGATGGATGCAGAACTTTTTTTCCTATCGCTTAGCAGGAATGTGGGACACAATGATGAGGTGGAGTTTGCTGCATGTATTAGGATTCTGAGCCTTATGTGATATGATATTTAAATATGAACTGACTGGTCTCTTCCGTGGAGGGAAGCACATGCCTCTGAGAACCTCTGCAGGTGACTGTGACCGTGGCCCGGGCCAGAGTCGAAAGAAAAACTAAGGAAATGGAGAAGCAGAGTCCTTGTGTCTCAGCAGGCCTCTTGCTTAAAGTGCCTGGGCAATGACTGGGTCTCTCAGTCCACAGGTTTCTGGGAAAGTCATGGCCTCTGCAGGGCTTGGTAATTCAGAAAGTACCCTCAAGAGTTGCACAGGGTCAGTCTAAGAAAGAAAGTGTGTAGGATCTATGTTGGGTGAAATGCTTCTGGTTGAAATCGACAACTCTAGTTAAAAGACTATATTTACCAAATATTTATGATTTTATAAAACCATTGTGAAATTAGATTTACTGCTTTGTTATCCTGGTTTGGCATTAGAAAATCTGTTAATCGGGCCTCCCTGGAGGCCTAGGGATTAAGTCTCTTAGCTCTTACTGTTATGGCCTTATTTTGATCCACAGTGAAGGAAGTTCACCGACTTTGGCACAGCAAACCTCTCCTGTCTCACCCGCAACTCCCCTCAACAGTGTATTTCATTCAGTCTGCCTGTTCTGGTCAACACACTCCCCTACAGCATGCTCCCCTACAGCATGCTCCCCTACAGCACCCCCACTCCTGCACCTCTGGCCTACACCCCAGATCTCCTATGCTAAAGTAAAAAATACCAAAAAATCTATTCTGCCCATAATTTACTACGGGCAAAAAGCATGAATCAGAAAATCAATACCTGTAAATTATGTTGTAATATAGGAACTTTCGTGCCGCTAGTAGTATTCACTCAGAATGCTTACTTTTTAAAGACATGGTCATTTTTATCTCACTTTAGATGTCCATACTGTGGATCACCTGACTCAGGACAGCCCTGCAAATCAGGGCAGACATGTGTGGCAAGTTCTTACCACCAGCAGCAAAATTCCATCCAACGAGAGAACTGACTTAATGGGAAAAAGCAATTTGCACTCAAGTCATTGTTTGAACCATAGTATCAAAAATGAAAACAATTCAGCAATGATGCCTGAGAACTTTACTCTACATAGGACCATGATGATCTCTGGTGAGCCTCATGAAGGGCATGCTGGAGAGAACGAGGAGGGTTTAGTAGAATGAGGGAACCCATCAAGTATCCTAAGCACCTTAGTCACCAGGTGATTCAGAACTTTCAACAGCCTTTTGAATTTCGTGAACAAGGAAAAGTCGTGAGTGAAGAAACAGTATTTACATTTAGAGGAGCCCTTCTGGAAGGGATTGTCCATATATGCAATGAGTGCAGGGACACCCGTGATGAGGTACCTTTCGTTGTCCGAGACAGAACCCAAGGAGGACAGACTCGCTGCAGTTGTAATGAAAAGGGGAGAGCTGCGGAGATGACTCCAGTGCATTTGAATCCTCCTAGGTATGTTGAACATGAGCAGCAGAAATGTTGTGAAAGTGGGGCCAGTCTCAGAAACGCATTTCACGCCTATCCGTGTGAGAGTACCCAGTTAGGAAAGAATAATTTGGGATATAAGAGATATGGTGAAGTGGCCTCTAAAACCTCTGTTCTGACTGAACATCAGAAAACACAAGCAGACGATCAACCTGATGAGTGTGGGGGCACCGCTGAGATTTCCTTACAGAGGGGATACCAGAGAAATCTCACTGCAGTGAAGTTGTTTGGCTCTAATGATTACGTGAAAACTTACTCACGGAAGACTGCCCTCACTTTACATCCACAGTCTCAAACGGGAGTGAAGTGCTACCCGTGTCAGGTGTGTAAGAAAACTTTCAGGCGGAAACCTGCTTTTAGTGTCCATCAGAGAACTCATACAAAGGAGAAATCCTATGAATGTCAGGTGTGCAGGAAAGTGTTCTCCCGTAAGTCACTTCTTGTTCTACATGAGAGGACTCACACTGGAGAGAAATGCTATGAATGTGAAGGGTATGGGAAAGCTTTTTCCAGTAAGTGTTACCTCAGTAAGCATCAGAGAATTCACACTGGAGAGAAGCCTTATGAATATCAAGAGTGTAGTAAGACTTTTCAGTGGAAATCATCCCTCAGTAAACATCAGAGAAGTCACACTGGAGAGAAACCCTATTATTGTGATGAGTGTGGGAAAGCTTTTTCTAGTAAGTCATCCCTCAGTCTCCATCAGAGAAGTCACACTGGAGAGAAGTCTTATGAATGTTAAAAGTGTAGGAAGACTTTCCTCTGGAAATCATCCCTCAGTCACCATCAGAGAATTCACACTGGAGAGAAACCCTATGAATGTGAAGGGTGTGGGAAAGCTTTTTCCAGTAAGTGTTACCTCAGTGAGCATCAGAGAATTCACACTGGAGAGAAGCCTTACGAATGTCAAGCGTGTAGGAAGACTTTCCTCTGGAAATCATCCCTCAGTAAACATCAGAGAATTCACACTGGAGAGAAACCCTGTGATTGTGAAGGGTGTGGGAAAGCTTTTTCCTGTAAGTCAAACCTCATTAGACATCAGAGAAGTCACACTGGAGAGAAACCCTTTGATTGTGAAGGGTGTGGGAAGGCTTTTTCTAGTAAGCCACACCTCATTACACATCAGAGAATTCATAGTGGAGAGAAATCCTATGAGTGTCAAGAATGTGGGAAGACTTTCCGCCAGAAATCATCCCTGAGTAAACATCAGAGAAGTCACAGTGGAGAGAAGCCTTATGAGTGTCAAGAGTGTGGGAAAACTTTTTCCAGTAAGCAAGCTCTCACTGGATATCAGAGATGTCACTGGACAAAATCCCTATGATTGTGAAGAATGTGGGAAAACTTTTCAGGAAGTCAGCCCTCACTAGGCATGACAAACTCCACACTGGAGTGAAATGCTATGAATGTCAAGAGTGTGCAGGCAGGCCTCCCCTGGTGGTGCAGGTGGTTGAGCGCAGTGCTGTGAAGCTGTCCGTGGCCTTTGTGGTGGGAGTTTGATTCCCTGGCCAGCCAGGAGCAACCCCATGGTGCGGCAGACCTCTCCTGTCTCCCCCGCTGCGTGTATTTCAGCAGTGTATTTCGGTCAGTCTGCCTGTTCTGTTCCCCGCTCTGTCTCTGGTGCATCCTCTCACCCTCCCACACATCTGGCCTATACCCTGGTTCTTGTATGCTTGAATAAATAAAAATCTTTTAAAAAATATTCAAACTTAGGAGTTCAAACCACATCATGCAGCTGAGAACAATGGGAACTGACATACAGTTTCAATCTTAATTGCGTGGAGTTACCTGGTTCACTCTGTTCTCCCAAGTTCATACAGTGATGATGTCGCTGTTCCTGTTGCTGTTGCTTCTAGTATCCTCTTAAGTTCCTGGGCGATGCTATGCCTGTCCACAGCAGCTGTCTGTCTACATGGCACACTGCATGTTGCGTGGGTAAGTGATCTCTCTGGGTTTTCTAACTTAATCGTCGCATTCTGTCCAGTACTTTAAGTCTCTGTGGTGCCCCCCAATGCTGGAATTGCTCACCACCAAAATGTCCTCCTCTAGAAGGAAACGTTGAACTGTGTGCTATCGGCTATAGGTTGAGGTCTGCAGATGTCTTTACCTACCTTTCATGATGAAGGTTTTTCAGGGCCCCCCTGGTGGCCTCGGGGTTAAGTCTCAGCGCTATTGCCTGCTCTGGCCAGGGTTTCAGCCCTAGCTATGGAGCTGCCCCACATATGGCCACAGCAGGCCTCTCCTGTGTCACCTGCTGCTCCCGTTAGCCAGGTATTTCATTGGTTCTGCCTGTTTGTCATCACACTCAGTATCTGGTGAATCCTCTCACCCCCAAGCCTCTGGTCTACACCCCAGTTCTACAGAATAAGGGAATTTTGTTGGAAGATTAATTCTGCATACAAGATCTGGGGTGCAAGCCGGAGGTATGTGGGGGTGAGAGGATTCTCCACAGAGAGAGTGGGGTGCACAACAGGTGGATCTACTGAAATCCACTGCTGAGGGGGCAGTGGAGACACAGGAGAGGTCTACTGTGCCTGTGGGTCACCTCCCTGGCCAGGGATCAAACTCGTGTCTGCAGTACTGAGCTTCATAGTGCTGAGACTTCACCCCTGCACCAACAGAGGCCCCTGAAATTTTTTTAAAGGAAAGGATTCTTGCCTGTTAAAAATTTTTTATTAAATTATTGTTCATATTTGTGCAATATTGGATTGCTCCCCTTCTGTATAATTCTTGCAAATGTCCTGTCCGCACCGCCCCTGTGACCCATCACCCCAGGCCCTGGTGCTCCTCCTCCCCTCCTGGCCCCTCTTCTGCCCCATCTCCTGCTGGCGTCTCAGCTCTGTCATCTGCCTGCTAGTTTTGTCTTTTTCCCCTGACCCTTTCTTCGTCCCCCTGTATTCCTCCTGGAGGTGATGATGTAATCCAGGTCTTTTTCCTTCACTCTTTGTTCAGAATATAATCCCTTCTGCCATTGCTGGCCGTGCCCTGAATGTGGTCTTTGTCTGAGTCAGTTCATACCTTGGGGTGAGTGGTCGGTGTGGAAGGTGGTGGCCGAGGAAGTCCTTGATGTAACTCTCGCTACCACTCCCCCCTCAGGGGCCCCGGGCACCTTCTGGTGTGTTTCTTTGGCTCTGTGGTGATGTAGCCAGGCTAGAAAACAAAGAATAGTTTGACTTTTAACCCTTTGCACTCCGAACCATTCTGGACATTGGCTACCAGCTACTCGACGCTACTTTGCTGCGGAAACGTGCATTTACAGGCCCTCGTATTATTTAGTATAATTTTGGAACCAAGTAACGTATTATAATGATATTGGACATATATGAATTGGGTGACATCGAGGAATGTATATTTGCAAAAAAAACCACAATATTTTATTTTATTTTATTTTTTTTTTTTTAAGATTTATTTATTTATACAAGCACTGGGTACAGTCAGAAGCACGGGAGGGTGAGAGAATTCACCAGAGCCAGAGCAGGGAGCAGAGCAGGCAGAAGGACCGAGGTACACTGCTGAGGGGAGCAGCGGGCGGCAGGAGAGGTCTGCACGCCATGCGGGACCCTCCTCCGGAGGCCGGGGAGCAGCCGGGAATCGAACCAGCGCGGCAGAGACTGAGGGCAGCTTCGCAACCCAGCGCTCAACCGCTGCGCCACCGGGGAGGCCCAACACAATACTTTATTGTTTATAATTTTGTACAGTGTGATAAGTTTTGTAACACTCCCCAATATGCATTGCAGGCTGATTAGTGGAGCTTACCTTTACTACTACTTGTGTCATGAGACTCATTCGTGGTTGGACACTTTGCCATTGTTCTAATGAAAAATATGAATAAATGCATGGGTTGAAAATTTCTAATTGTTATTACTGACTGACAAGATGATATTTACCAAAATCGCTTTCACCAAACAATTTATTAACTAAGAAAAGAATCGCTTTTCCGATTTTCTCCTTGTTACATCTATGTGCACTGCTCGAAGCTTCAAACCAAAGTGAGCTCAGCTTTGAAAATCTTTTCCTCCAGATGTAGACTTGTGTATTTGTAATTATATATCTCACTGTACAGTGCACGCTATGTTCGAAAATCGACCTTTCTTCTACAAAATCCCCTTATCGCTCTTTTCAAGTGGCGTCGTGAAGTGCTCGGACCGGGAAGAGGTGGTGGTGTTTCCATCTCGTGTCATGAGACTTTCCTGGGCTTGGCTGCGGTGATCGAAATGTCGGCCAAGGTGAGGTGAAGTGTGGACTCTATGTCCTGAGGAGAGAGTGAGCGGGTGCCGTCCTCCTGTGGAGAGCTGGGGTGGAGGATGTGGACACCGCTCGGGGAGCAGTCTTGCCGTGACTCTGCGCACCCTGCTCGGCGGCCTTTCGGGGTGAGCTTAGGAAACAGTGTGAAGGACACGTGAAGTCTGTGAAAAGGCCCCCGGCGCTCACCGCGGTCACTGCTGAGTAGCCCGGGAATGTTTTCCCTCTGCAGCGAGCCCTGTACAGGCTCCGGCGGCTCCAGGACCTCCAGGGACGCTGTCGGGGAAGCCGGAGCCGCAGCCTCCCTGGGCCTGAGTCCTGAACTCGCGGGGGGAGGTTCCGGGGCGGGGTGGAGTCGGGATGCCGAGGCTTCCCAGACCCAGTGGTGCCAGGGGGCCGCCCTCGCCGGGTGGATTCCTCCATCGGGCGCGAATGTCCTCAAGGCACTTGCGGGGGGATTATCTCCACAGTGGCCTGTGGGGTGACGAGAAGCCAGGGGCGGCGTTGGGTGGGGGGACCTGTACCCGCCTGGGCAGAGGCTGCCCTGGCACCGTCGCCCTCGGGGGCTCGCGCAGTCGCGGGGCGCTCTGCGGGGGGAAGGACCGTCCTGGGTCCCCGGCTGGACATCCCCCCCTTGCGCCCCGTGACCCGCGTGTCCTCCCCATGCCGTGACGGTCTCAGCGCCTCAGGAGCGTCAGGTACATCCTCCCCGCGCGCCGGGGTCTGAGCTGGTGGTGCCTCCTCGGGGTTCTCAGTCCTCCCTCGACTCTCCGGGGCGCTGCTTCTCCGGCGACGCTGGACACGGGGTGTCCCTAGGGGTAGTGCGGGCGGCTGTCCTCAGAGTGTGGAGAGATGAGTGTGTGCGGGGGTGGTTCAGTGTCTGTCACTCACCACCTTTGTCTTCTGAGGGGGCGTGATGTCGAAATTGGGAATTTAAAATGTTCTGCTGTTACAGGAGGTGGGGAGACCGCAAAGCCCCCAGAATATCGCTCCATAAAGGGTCTGCCATCTGCTGCATCAAGAAAAATCATAAAAAGGGGCCTCCCCGGTGGCGCAGCGGTTGAGTGCTGTGTTGCAAAGCTGCCCGCAGCCTCTGCAGCGCCATTTCGATCCCCGGCTGCTCCCCGGCCACCGTTGAGGGTCCCGCATGGTGCACAGACCTCTCCTGCCGCCCACTGCTCCCCTCAGTAGTGTACTTCGGTCCTTCTGCCTGCTCTGCTCCCCGCTGTGGCTCTGGTGAATTTTCTCACCCTCCCACACTTCTGACTGTACCCCAGTGCTTGTATAAATAAATGAATAAATAAATCTTAAAAAAAAAAGCATAAATTTAAAACAATCTGGCCAAGCATCTTGAGGAAGGGATGGTTGCTGGAGCCCCATAGGCAGGAGGGGAGCGGCTGAGCCCTGCACAGTGGGACCAGGGCAGCTTCCCCTCTGGTGGCCCAGGCTGTGGCCACGGAAGCAACAGCATTTTGCTTCCCCCAGGCCCTGCGTGCAGAGCCCCTCAAGCCTCTCAGCGCCGCAGAATGTGTCCAGGTCAGTCGGCCCCTCAGGAAGGCTGTGAAACATAAACTGGACAGTCGGCAGAGTCATAGGTCAAGGAGCTTCCATTTCTCCTTGTTTAAGGAGAATGATTCTAACAGTGAAACCGAGTTGTTGTTTAGAGCCAAGTGGAGTTTCGAGTTCATAAGAACATACAGAAGTTTCTGAGACAGTAATGATTGGCAGTTTTCTCTATGGAGAGCAGTCATCTCAGCTTGGGAAAAATTTACATGTCGGGCAGATCAGTTCCTGGGAGGTGATACTTAGAAGGGCAGCACGGGATGCACCGATAAAGGAAAAGATATTTCACGTGGTGTCCAGGATGTCGTCGTCATTCAAGACACCATTTGCATCGTTCACAGTAAAGGACCCCAGGTGCTATAACGTGGAACCTGGAACACCGGGTGCTTCAGCCTCTAAACTCCCTCCCTCTCTCATGGGTTGCCTGTCTGGTTGGGGGCATCTACATGATCATTTGGGAGCTCCAGCTCCTCAGGTGTTGATTCCGTCCTCCTGTGTGTCTGTGGAGTCCTCTGGCTGCAGCCAAAGGAGGGGTGGGGAAGGACACTGTGGGTGAGGTGGGGAGGTTTCACTAGCAGACCTCTCTCCTGCCCCTGCTCGGGTGGCTACAGCTCCCGCAGACACCGCTGTGGTGGAGACCTGTGATGTGATCTCACTGTGGCGCGCAGAGATCGTGTGCTGGCGAGCATCTGGCCGTTCTGCTCGCTTCCTTCCTTGAGTCCTCTGTTCACCCTCGAAAACTCGGGGTTTTAAGGATTTCTCTTATTTGTACTCCGGAGCCAATGCTGCGTATTGTTGAGGGTCTCAAGTAGTTAAATATTTCTTGTCTATAATGACACTTCATTGTGTCCTTGGTTCTCGTGGACCAGGTGCTCCCAGCCCTGGACACCTGGAGGGACATGTTGGCCACGGTGCGGTGCGATACACCCCCTCACTCCTTCCTGGGAAAAGAATGACATTGTGCCATCCTCCTGCAGAGAGCTGTGCATTGAGAACATGTAGACTGCTTCATACGGTCTTTTCGGGAGGAATGACCTGAGGAGATGCTTTCCAATGCAGATGAAATCTTCGAGTGTGACAGTACTCACCAGCCATGTCTTGCAGTAACAAATCGCTGGAGACGATGTGTAAGTGCAACCGCGAGGACGGTTGGACAGAGGACAGTGGACCTTGTTCCTGGACTGCAGTGGGGCAGCTGCAGGTGGACGGTGGAGAGGGCTGAGGATGATGCAGGGCCCAGCAGGGGCCTAGGTCCGGTCGGGGCAAAGAAGAGGCCGCCCCTCCTGGTGCCGAGAGGCGGGGATGCCGTGAACGCGGAGCTACGAGGGTGCTGGGTGTTGCTGGGGCGGGGAGCCTGGTGCAAGGTGCCCCCGCCCGATGGCGCAGTGGGCCCACCTGTCTCTCCCGGGAGGGCCGGTCTTGCGCGTCAGCGGTCCCCGCTGAGGAATCCCGAGCAGGTGCCCAGCTCGGGACAGATGCCTATCAGCGCTCAAAAGGCTCCCGAAGCGTTTGTGGCCATGTTCGGAGCAGACACGGGCCATCGCCTCCCTTCCGGGCGGAACTCCCAGACGGGCGCCCCTGCGGGAGGCTCCCAGGTGTGCCAGCCCGCGCACCTGCCTGTGCACCTGTGTGTTCCCTCCCGCGAGCTCCGCCCAGCCACCTGTGTGCGCACGCGCCCCGCCCGAACCCCGGAGTGAAGTCGGGGCCCGCGGTACCCCAGTTTCGGCGCGACCCGTCTCCTTGGGCCTGGGGACTCTGCGGTCGCGGAAGGAGCAGGTGAGTGGGGGGGGGGGCGTGGGAACACCCCCGTGCGGCTGCCCGCGGAGAGGGGCCTCGAGGCCCCCGTGTGGGGGCTGCGGGTGGGAACCGGGGGGCTTGGCTGGCGTCTTCCAGGGCCGGGAGGACCCTGGGGGTCAGGGCTCATTCCTGAGCCTGACCCTCCTTGACCCGCCTCCGCGGACTGGTCTCCCGGCGTGTCGTGGTGAGTGGGTGCACCTGGGATGGGTGCACCGGGCCAGTCCTCCCCACCCCCGTGTTCATCTCAGGGACGCACCTCAGGGTTTGGGGACCGCGGGGTGACATAGTCCAGGGCCGTCGCCCCCTCCCTGCCCCAGTCTGGCTGGCAGGATAGTACCCTGCCCCCAACCGGGTCTGAAAGGCGGCCCGGAAGGAAGGGGAGCCGGTCTCTCCACCCCACCATGTGCCCTGGGGGCAGGTGATGAGTATGTATCCCGGGGCGCCCAGCCTCTACCCTCCAGAGAGGACCTTCAGGAAGGAGGCCACAGGGCCTCCCTGGGGAGCAAGGGTCAGACGCAGCTCTGTGAGGCTGTCTGCAGCCTCTGCTGCACGAGTTCGGTCCCGGCTAGGGAGCTGCCCACAGGGCGCGGCAGACCCCTCCTTTCTCCCCAATGCTCCCCTCAATAGTGTTTCAGTAGATCCTTCTGTGCTGCTCCCCACTCTCTGGTGAATCCTCTCACCCCCCACACCTCTGGCCTGTACCCCAGTTCTGTTATGTATAAATAAAAAACGAGGAGATAAACCATCCACATGATTAGGTCACGAAGCGCGGGAGGCA